CTCGTTTTCGACGGGCTTTCATCTGGTATAAAATTCATTACTTACCCTATTCGCAATTATAGCGTTACCCCCCTGGAAAAACATTTTTACGCACCCTGTACAGACTTTCTCAAAACTTATTGAAGTTAATTAGTTTCATGAGTTTTTCAGCGCTTGTCAACCGCTGATCGAAACTCAAATGCGTAATTCCAATTAACGCTAACATAACCGTGAGCACGAAGTAAAACAACTTTTGCTCAGCTATAAATTTTCACTTTCTAATTAAAAATTAGCACATCCTGTAGGGAATTTCGAGTATTTTCTAGTCACGTGTTTGACAACCCGAGATCACGTTTCCTTAATTAACTGATGAGAGACTACATTAAAAGAAAGAACTTTATTTGGGCTAAATGTGGGCACGCTGTCAAATCTATTGAGATACAAGGGGCACTAAAAAGGTTTTTTCGCCAGCCCTTTAAACAAATATCCAAGACTGGTTCTATTATAATTTTTGTTGTACTGTCCGTCAGCATCAATGCACTTGCGCATTCGAATAAACCAGTCATCGAAGCAGCTTTTAAAATCACCTTTTGTGAAACTGTCAATGGGTTGTTGTACAAGGTGACTCATAAAAAACTTACCTCTTTTTGTAATAGTCTTTCTATAGTCTTAGAATTTAATTTTTGATTCGATTCTTTTTGCGATAGCTGGAAAAAAGCTGCTCATGAAGGAACATTCCCCGCTGTCCAACCCTGATTTCTTTTAAACATACATCAGTCGATGACCTATATCGAGATAGTAAAAAGCCTAAAAGGCTTTAGCCCCATGGCTCTTGAAGATTCGGTTTTCAGCAACTCAAAAAAAATAACCAAAACGTTTCTTAATAAGACATGATTATAGCCCGCAAATTTCTGATTAAACTGAGACGTCTCCCAGCTCTACACGATCTTTCTTTACAAAGTTATAGAATTTACAAGAAAAGCCCTAATGTTCATTGTAAGCTCAAAGCTACAGAAATAAGACGAAATCAATTCAGGGCTTTTCTTGTAAGTTCTAAAACTTTGCAAAGAAAGGTCGTGTAGAGCTGGGTGACTTCCCGTTTTAATCAGAAATTTGCGGGCTACAATCATGCCTTAGTAAGAAATGTTTTGATTACTTTTTTAGAGTTTCTGAAAAACTGGTTTTCGAGAGCCATGGGGATAATTCCTTTTAGGCTTTTTACTATCTCGATATAGGCTATTGACTGATGTATGTTTGAAAGAAATCAGGGTTGGACAGCTGGGAATATTCCCTCGTCAGTAGAACTGGTTATATTTTTGAAAGGATTCCACCATAAGCAGATGCTAAAAAAGATTTATTAAATATGAAATCTATGCTGGAACGGCACATCTTCACCAGGAAGTAAAACAGGAGCCGTAAGACAACCGCTGTTAGCTTGAAGTTTGTTGTAGTTTTGGAGTTCCTAATATTTCGTTAATGAAGAAAAGAACTCCAGGTAATTTCTTGGTTATCTTTTGAAGATTTTTTTTTACACGATCGTCTAAGCTTAGTGCTAATTGGTATTATATGCCTCTTCATTATACTTTACTTTATTTCTTATTAAGAACGCAAATTTTATCAATCATTTAGGCATATTTTTGTAGCCATTTAAACGTTCTATCTATTGAATATAATCGATCGTGATCAAAGCTAATTCAAGTGGTAAAATAGTGAAATTCATACCACACACCTCTTTATGTAAAATATGGAATACTGTTGTTGTACGAACATTTCTATAATGTTATCAATAATTGGAAATGAGTTATATGTTACTTAAGTTGTAAATACTTATAAGTACATTCTGAAAATTTACAGTCAAAAGTGCTTCGTCGTTGAGTTATTGAATTTTTATCGAACAAACAGCAAAGTTCATTTTGTTCCATCACAGATGTCATATTTAATAAATCTTTTTTAGCATCTACTTATGGTGGAATCTTTTCAAAAAATATAACCAGTTCTACTGAGCAACTTTTTTCCCGCTCTTTCTATCTTAAAAAGAATCGGATTAAAAATTGAATTCTAAGACTATAGAAGACAATTAGGAAAAGGGGTAAGTTTTTTATCACTGTAAAGCATTCAACATTGCATTATTGTCGTCGAAGTGAATTCGATGGGCCTGGACGGACAGCATCTTCAATATTGGAATTACTGTGTTGAAATTCATGATACCAATTGAGAACTGTACGATCAGAAAGTGCTTGGTCACCCGATGCGGTAATTTCGCAGTTCGATAGAAACACTTTTCAACAGCGTGTATCGACACTGTCGAATTTCGAGCGAAAAATCCGACAGTGTCGAAAGCTGTCTGTCGAAAAGTAGAACTGTCAAACGGCGACAAATTCCCCCATGCTTACGCTAAACGGACATGGCTTTCCTTATACGTTAAGCCAATTTTCATGCCATATAAAATCATAGTTCAAAACTGTTCACCTGAAAGTCATATAAAAAATCGTATATATTTAATCTGAAAGAAATGTAAAAATACAACGACGCACAAGACTTCTAAGTTGGAAATTTTGCACATAATCCTGAATATGTCTAAGCATTATAGTAGAATAGTTCCATTCAAATTACGACTTTTAGGAGAATCGGGTGAAAAAACTTTTTTAGCGTCCTACGTAATTTCAATCACTCCATACTCAAGAAGACTGTGTAAAAAAAAAAGAAAAAGACGTAGTCAGTTGATGATTAACCCCATAACAGGCCTTAAAATAGGACATTTTAATTGATTTTATTGTCATCGAATCTTAGAGGGTACTTGGATGATCATTAAATTTACATTTATAGTCGATTACTAGTTTTTCGAGATGAAGCAGCATGGTACTCATTTCAATTAATTAAATTAAATTAAAATTTCTATTAGTATTTTCTTTGTTCAGTGTTTGTTTGAAAAAGAAACCTTAACAATTTTTTCGAACATATTTTAATCTATAAGTTGATTAAGATTTACAAGAATTTGGGAAAAATTTGCGGGAACTAATTAATATTAATCGACAAGCAAGCTTGATGCAGTTAGCACTGCATTCCTTGTCGTAAAGATGACAGTATACATGACGACCGCAATCAGAGTTTGACTTTAATATTGTTGCTTGCTCTTCTAAAAATCTCACAAATCGACCTATTTTTCTGATCCAAGTGATCCTGCTAGTTGAAATATTATTGATTTACCAAATAGTGCAGAGTAAGCACTTGCATTCTTTGGGATATATTTCTGTTGAAAAAATATCTCGCAAAATCCTGAGTTTAAAAGATTTTTTTTCGGCAGAAAAAAAATTCTGCGTAGTTTGGAACAACAATTCGCCGTGAATTAATGTTTCCCGCCGAAAAATTGAAATTAGCAATGAAAAATATTTTCCCCCAGGAACTTGTGGAATCACGTTCGTTTTTTTTCACTGAATGGAACAAAGCTGAAGTTTAGGCTTCTAAAACGAGGTTTGGGGAAAAAACACATAGGTTATATTAAATTAACGTAGGTCAGGTTACGAAAAACAGGTTAGGTTAGGTTTAAATTACAAGTTTCGTAGGTTAGGTTAAGGTTAAGTTGTGAAAATTTTTTTTAGGTTAGGTTGTCTAACTGTACAATAGTTAACCGTCATACTTTGGCTGAAGAGTCTACAGACCCTGCACAGTATTTTATGCAATTTTGAAGTCAAACTGATGTTCCTAGAATGAGTTAGGATCTCATTTTCAAGGGCTCGATCATAAAATAGCTGTGTTTCAGTAATCATTAACAGCTACCTCTTCAAATTCATATCATAGATAGAGGAGAATCAGTACTGCATTTTAGTAAATAGAAAAAGGTTTTACTTCTCTTAGATCAGAAGTTATTAAACGGGAAAGACAACGTTCTGTCTGATGCTGCTGATCGTTAGACCGAACGGCCAACTAGCCTGCCAATCCATGACTTTCTTTCTTCGGAAAATTTTCTTGATATCTCATGTTTCACCCCTTTTCGGATATATATACGGGTTTCCTTAAGAAAGGAAAATTCTATAACTTCGAAAATAATGAAGTTGGAAGGCTGACATTTTTCATGATTATAATAGACAGACTACCGCAGAAAAATTTTCAATCTTTTGTATCGTGTTTTGAGTGGGTTATGAATTTTTTACTGTGTAACCTAATGTATTGTATCATACAATGATGAAGTTTTTTATTTTCCCTATACATACAAATTGTATGTATAGGGAAAATAAAAAACTTCATCACTTTTGAAAGAAGCAATAAGACCATAAATCCTTTAGGGTTTTTATCACGACACTATATAGTTATTTCATTCATCAACTGCTCATAAAGTAAAGAAGAAAACGAATCATAACTAAGTAAGTTTTGTCGGAGTTGAAACGGAGTTGGAGTTGCTCATCTCTGATCACTGCTACCACACTATTGTGGTTTATCAACGGGTTTAAAAGAAAACATTAGTTTAAAATTCAATATACTTCCTTAAGGCTGTTTTTTGTTGTAGAGTTAGAATTGAAAATATCCGTTCGTTTATGAAGATTTTAGTTTTAGTTTTGTCCTTGACTACAACTAATAGTGAACTATGGTGCGAACAACGAAACAAAACAAGACATTTAACGCAATGCAACTTATTTAACGTTTGTATAAGTTAATCATTTTTTATACTTACTCTGATTTTGATATAAATTTAACTAACAATGCTAATTTAACTAACAGTTACAATGCGTCGCAAAAACCGAAAGAATTCAAGTACAACAATGTTCACACGATTCTATAAAAACGTTGGAAGTCTATTTGGAATGTGTATGTCAAACAATTACCACATGACAAACGAACATCGAAAACGACATAGCTGTCGGCATGAACATAATAATGTAACAAATTACGATGGTAGTGCTCAGAATAGTAAACAAACCCCATCTCCAAAACGATGTGTAACTAAATCGAAAAGAATTCATGGGAAAAGACGGCAAATGAGAAGAGAAAAATCGATAGTACATGAACTACAATATTTCAAGAGAAAAAAGCAATTGAAACAGCAGCAACAGAAACATAGTTTACAAAATGACGAAACCGAGGAGGCCATGGCTATCAAACAGAAGATGGAAGTTCAACAACAGCAAACAAATGTAAGTTATGGTTCACACTTGTTTCGTACCACTCCGAAGTGATTTACTATACTGAAAGAAAGACATGTGAGATTAAAACAAGAATTTGCTCCATTTAGCCATCCCGGCAAAGTATAAGAAAATTACGTAATGGTGCTAAGATATACTTTAGCTCTTATGACAGTAAATTGTAAATTGGAGGAAAAAATTGAAGGAAACAGCAATCGACTGACGAAGGAAAATGAGCAAATGAGTTTGTACAAATTGTTCAAGCGAGTATTGCGTGAAATTGATGTTACTTGAACTGTTAGGTTATTGCATGATTGTATCTGATGAGATCCTATCGTTATGCATTACTAGTAGACCGTTGTTCAGTCATATTTTAGCAGAAACTGGCTCAGGTGAGAATCACAGAATATACAGACAGTTTCAATACAGAAAGAACAGTGAATTCGGGTTATAATGGTTTGAAATATCGATGATCTTGATTATAGGAGATAATGACTCCTAATTCGATTGATCCTTGATTCTTTTGTATAATCCTATGTTTCTCAAAACTGTCATAAACTGAAACGTGAGGTCTTGTACCCGGAATCATATTCAATATGTAGAGCGAAGTTATGATAGTATTTGTCGTGAACCTGTTCTTGATAGTAGTTCACTTTTTACAAACGTTTTCCATTGTACGGTTCTTTTCTATGTGTTATTTCTAATATATACTCACAGAACTTCAGTGATTTAAAAACAAAAGCACTGCTGTCAAAAACCGGTCGAAATTCGGTGAAGCTGCGTAAAAAAAGGACATTTTGAAGGTAAAGCCGCATAAAAGAGATAAAAGGCAGTGGGTATATGAAAGAAATCGGATTAATTAACACTTCCTTCGAGTATAATAGTTGTCGTTTAGTATGAAGTACACAACGCAGTTACAGCAGAAATGATTGAAATTCAGCCTCGTGGCAATATCAGAGACAATCATTATACAACAAGCCCTACTTCCATCACATCTATTCCCTCTCCCGTCGGACTAAAAGCCAAACAACATGATGTACAAATTGAATATCCATCCAGCGCTTGTTCTAGATCCATTTCAAAAGTATCATTAAATAACAATAATGTACTATGCCTTCTAATCAATTCTGTATTTGATGATGACGGCACACAAATTATCGAAAATGCTCGTCAATCATTGGTACAATGTGGTTTAATGATCAATAATGCACAAATATTGAACATCGGAGAATTAATTGATATTGTGAAAACATTTGTGAAAGATGACCAAATGAAAAATTCAAGAGAACAAGCGACAATGACTGAAATGGACTATTATCAGGAGGAAAAGACATTGGAAAAAAATGTTAGGTAAGACCAAAAAATCAAGTGGAAGTATTAATATCTGTTCGGAGCTAGCGTACGAGATATTTTCAAGACTCATTTTTACACAAAAGCGGATTCTGAACCGTCGATACAGATGTTTTTTAGTAGTCAGATCTTATTGCAAACTGTGTGTATTTTTAGTAAAACACATGCTGGTCATTGTCGTTCAACGTCCTGTTATAGTTCTTGTCTATCTCATATGGCAGAGAATGAGCGGCGTCTGAAAGCTTTGGAATTTATACGTGCATTTATCGAAAAGACAAAAGATGAATTTTATGATTATTTACGAGATGAGCAAGGTATCTGTGAGAAGAAGAGTACAAATATTTATAAAATGATTAAACAATTACTCAAAGATAGTTATGAACAACAACATATTAAACAAACACGATCGACTTTACATAGATGCCCTTAACAGTGATGGTTTTAATAGACTCTCATATTCAATTTAAAACTAGCTCTGCTATTTCTTTCCTCTAGTGGAATGACTACTTGATTCTCACTAATTTTCATGCAGATGAGGAACAATTTCTTTTGAAAGTTATTTCTTCAAATCATTAAATTCCCTTTGTTTTTGAACAATTTGTGTTGGTGGTCATGCAACTCTCTTGTCAAATCCCACTCTCGTTTCAATAATAAATCTTTTAATACCTGAATATCATTCAAATGTAATTCAATTGTTTTCATTATCATTGCTGTCATTCAACTACTTAGTCAGACTGTGTTTATGCACTATTACATTAGACAAAATCGTACGCACTTCCTATCTATTTCCTATCTCTCTATCTTATAGGATCCTAACATTTAGGATCTTCCCAATAACTTTCTAGCAGGATCCTAAAATGCTCGTATCCTAGAAAGATTTCGCTTAAATTTGTTTAAGATCCGAACGGAATCTTAGAAAATTCTATGACATTCCGGTACACCTGATTTGATTAGGTCTCTGTAGGATTTTATTAGGATCCTAAGATATTAAACCGAAATCATACTAGAATATTGATAGGCTATGTCTCGGATCCTGGCAAGAAACTCATAGGGAGTTTACTAGGCTATAGGTCTAATCTGAGAAATTCCTTCTCAAACAGATAGTCAAAAAAGTATAGATTCAGAATCCGTGTCGTTTTTACTTTTTAGTTTGTTCGATTCAATTTTAATCGATTTTTACTGTACATCCCTTTATCTTTAGGCTAATTTTTGATCAAGTGTTGGTCCACGATCCATAGCAGTTGGAACAAACATTTTTATCAACATATGTCAAAGTATATGAATCTTTGTTGAAATCTAGAAAAAAAGTTTTCATCAAGTCATTTTTGCGCCTAATGCCTGTATTGATACCTGCGGTGACGAGGGTCTTTAATAAATATGTCAAATAAATGAAATTACTTACTGAAAGAAAAAACATTAAAATAAGAAAAGGGAAGAGTAATACAAGCACGTAGACAAAATCGTGTACGATAAGTTACGTGAATAAACATGACAGTAAGTCTATTAAAGTGTATGTGCGCTTCCAATCTTAAATTGTTTAATGCTTAAAGTATATTAGATGACAGATTTTACAGTTAAAACATAGTACCTTTTGGTAAGGATAAAGTCGGTGTCAAGGTCTGGCCAGAAAGATGATTAATTATTTTCAGTGCTGCTTTTTTTTACCACTTCCCTCCACTAAAGCATGAAGAAATACAAAAAACTATTGCTAATAATAAAACAAGGTAATATCAACCGAACATCAATCAATGTTGTTATCAATCGAGTACAAATATACCTGGAACGAAGAAATATATATATTATTATGTAATATATATATTATTATTTAGCTATTGAAATTATTACGTCTGAATGTTGGTAAGTTTCAGGTGCTATATATAAGTGGGAACTGTCTTTTGACAGTTAGTTTGCTTGATGTTGGAGGAAGCTAGCAAAAAGATACAGAAAAAGAGAACGTAAATAAACATATGAGCAGTGAAAATTTTGATTTCAGTTGTTTCCGTACAACGGTGTAATGATTTATTGAATATATTTTACCCTCAACAGAGACATGCAACGCTTACAGCCGGAGATACAGTCGATCCATAAAAAAGGTGTATGTTAAAAAAAATCTCTGAAGAGGCGTAGTTTTTTCCAGGATAAAATTTTGTAGAGAAATGTATGAAACTCTTCGACGTTTGAACGACTGTTAGTCTGTGATGGAGACGTTATGCAACAGTAAGACGCTAACCACAGGTATAAACTCGTTCTTCTATGTTCGCCTCTACAAGTTCTCACAACGTTTCTAGTCTAGACTAAAAGTCAGTCAGACTTTGACAATATCACAGTTAATCATTTCTAAATCGGATAAATGTTGGTAAAAGTATTGCTGATAATAAAGCACTAATTAAGAGATAATCTAAAAGCATGATTACAATATGTGACATATTTAGAAGAGAATGGTGCATGTTTGAATTATCGTACTGTATCAGGTACTTACTGTATAAATCGCCTACCCACAACGACAAAAGTAGACTGCTTTAAAAGCAATATATTCTAAAAGATAGTTTACAAGTACAACATGTTATTAGAAATTATGCAAGATTAACACTAAATAACATGAGATATGTTCTTACAGTTAATATGATGGCTATATATAATATATATAGTTATATATATTATATATAGCCATCATTTTGAACATATTTTTGGTGTCCATTCTGTACCGAAACCTGATTTAATCCCAAATCGAAATGTATATGTGCCCGGCGCAGGATTAACTATATTTAACTTATAATAGTATCGTAGGGCACGGGCAAGTTTATCATAGGTCATACCATGTTTTGTATTTCGTCCTTTAACATATTTCCATAATTTTGCTACCGCATGTGGTAAATAAATCTTGAATATACCTTGTTCAGGAATGACATATGCTGCATAATCTTTGTATTGTGGTTTATCGAGTAACAAACGCAAAAATTCATGAAGATATGGTCGACGTGTTTTTTTTGTTTCAGAATTTTCTACTAACCATTCCGATATATGTATGATAAAAGTACACATTCTAACAATAAGACATGTATGATCATTCGCAAATATCTCAATAATACTGTTCTCAGAATCTGATGATGATGATGATGATTTGCTTACAGACTCTAAAAGTAAATCTTATATTAAATATTTTCAGATTTATATTAATCTAAATACTTACCAACTTGTTGTGGTTTATCGTCACATAACATATCATATAATTTTTGTAACTTTATTTCAGTCACCATTTTTGTTTTTTTTAATGAAATTACTTGTTTTCAGTCAGTTTTAATACTGTTACAAATTACCGTGGATGTAGAAATTTTATATATATTAACTATCTTTTCTACACTTTGTTTACCTGACTTCAAGATTGATGATATATCAAAAAAAAATTTTTCACCTGAATGATGATGGTAAGTGCAAGATTGGAAGAGGAACTGATTTATTTTTGATGACTTATGATTATTTAATACAGGTGCATGCATACTTTTTCATGCAGCATGTATGAATAAAAATCTAATAAAAAAACATAGGTAGATTATATCGTTGATGGTTACTTGCTAAATATGACGCGTTACTTTTTCAAAGTACTTTCCCGTTGCTGCTATTTTGCATGATAAAAAATATTCTTCATAATAAATGTATACACGTAAGAACTATAGACATAATGCAACTTGACAACAAAAGTATTATTTTTGTACAATATATTTCTAGTATTGAAGAATTATAGATTATGTTCCCATTGAGGAACATCGATTCCTCCAAGATTAGGTTAATGGTATGTTTGAAATGTTTAAAAGAACTTATTGTTAGAAGTTTGCCGAATGAGCAATGCCGACTTGTATTTCAGATCGAACAAATATACTATCTACTGTCTTTTCTATAATTAGTACATCATTTCAATGGTTGACAGACAAAATGAGCTGTAGAACTTTTTATGATTATGAGGATAGAGTTTATTCTAGTAATTGATAGTGAACGTCTTACGTTTCACTCTGTTATCTAAACATTATATCAACTATATTAGGATCGAAAGTGTATTGCACTAATAATAATAATAATAATAATAAATCATATAATTCTCGGTAAGAGAAATTTCTTTGAGTTATCTCGATAAATTTTCTTCTAATTTCTCGTAGATTACGTTATGAAAGTTCTAACAGCATTGGATAATCCTGTTCGTATGTTTTTGATCAGAACTGAAATCGGTTGAGAAACGATAAACCACCCCGGTCCGGTCGGTAAACTGGTTGGTTGGAATTATCACTCAAGCTGGTGAAAAACCGGTAAAGCACCGGCGAAAAACTGGCGAAGTTATTTGAAAATTGATTTTCAGAAAGAATTTCCCCCAGAGATGAAATCGTTTGCTAGCACATGTAACAGAACCTTCACAATAACGATTGTATAGTGTAACTTTAAAACAAGTGATGAAAATAATATCCGGTCCGGTCGAACCGATACCGGTTTACCGGATCAGTTCCGGCTGTGCTTTCAACTAATACAAGAGGTATACTTGTTACTATCTCTAACTGATTACGCAATGTTTCAATGTTATTGTCTAGTACATTGAGTATAAATTTGACAAAAAATGATGTTTGGCTTCTATTTTGAATTTATCTTGCGGGTTGCAAGCAGTTATTCGAATGTTTTGGGTCATCAACCGACGTTTGAGCACCGAAATTTGAGCGACCGACGTTTGAGCCACTCGGATATTAGACACTTTTCAATATGACTTTTTTTCGATTAGGAAAATGGAATGATTGTTCACTTTGGTAATGATTAATAACGATGATGATAACAATTTCTTTTGGCGTACAGTTATGAACTGAATTATTTGAAGACCTGTAGAGGGTGAGCAGATATAAGTATGCGCTACGCTCAATTGTCGGAGCAAGTGTCGATCGCTCAAACGTCAGTTAATCGTTTTCTGTATATCAGCTTTATTTTTTATCTCTGTACGTCATTTATTTTGATATACAAGTAGTGATGCTATGCTATCAGTTAATACAAAAGGTATACTTCCTTTTACATTCTATTACTCATTTTATATTATTCGTTTGATCAATAATACGTGCTTAGAGGTAGTAGATAATCAAAAATGTGTACGTTTATCTCTTTCCAAACGCCTTGGATGAAAGTGAATGGATATTTATCAACTTAACATGCCTTAATAAGTACTTTTTTATGCGTCTTACCGTTCGTATTTGATTCTCATCACTTGTAGCTTCAAGGGATTGATAAGCTAATCTGAAAGAAAACAAAATTGTCATTGGAATGTTATAACAATTACACATGTAAAATTAAAAATGAGCTAACTCTAGATTTTTTCTTCACTCCCTTGATTGAAAGTCTAGGATCAGATAAACGAAATGTTCGTCTGCAGCGGAGTAGTGACACCTCCATTGAATCTCCGTCAAATAGCGACAAATGTTTCATATTTCATAGTTCATAGATCGATCAACAAAATTGACGGTAGAGTTCATCAGATGTTTTGAGATGAATGAATCGTTAACAATGTATAATAACCAATAATGATATTTCTTCCTGTTATTATAAGAAAGTTTTCCACAAAACGGCAGTCATTTTTCTACATTCGAATAGTGGAATATGTTGAAGATCGTAACAGGTAGAAGATACAATGAGAGTTTAAACAAGTAGAAACTTCAATGAGGACAACATTATGACGTTGGAAAGAACGTAGGATGATTTTTGTTCATTTTCATATATAAAGATTTTGTATCCTGTTCATTAGAAAAATTCATCCTAAAGTGCTTTTACGTACACTTAATGCATTGTCACTCTGCGAACTGTACTTTCAGATGGACTTATCCTATCAAAATAATTGCAATATCTTATCAACGAATGTTTGATTGTCTAGTCTGACGAGGGAAGGTCTCCAACTGTTACATCACTTTTAAATGGGACATATCTCAATTTATAGAGCTCGACGAACTGCTTACGATAGCATGAAGCATTTTCCCCACGGCTCTTGAAAACTCTGTTTTCCGGAAAACCAGTTTTTCAGACACTCTAAAAAATAATCACAACTTTTCTTAACGAGGTATAATTGTAGCACGCACATTTCTGATTAAAATGGGACATCTCCCAGCTCTTCAAGACCTTTCTTTGCAAAGTCATACATCTTACAAGAATTAATTTCTTCTTAATTCTGTAGCTTTGAGCTGAGAATGAACATTTAGAGCTTTTATTGTAAATTCTATAACTTTGTAAAAAAAGGTCTTGCGGAGCTGAGAGATGTCTCATTTTAATCAAAAATGTGCGAGTTACAATTATACCTTGTTAAGAAAGATTTTGGTTATTTTTTGGAGTTTATAAAATCTGGTTTTCCAGAAAACAGGGTGTTCAAGAGCCATGGGGAAAGTGCAATATGTCATTATAATCAGCTCGTCGAGCTCTACAAATTGGGATATGTCCTATTTAAAAGCGAGAGTAACACTTGGGGATCTTCCCTTGTGAGTGTTTCGTATTTCTCCTCCATTTTTGCGTCTGCTGTTACACAAAACGTGTATTCTGCTAAAAATCGACAGTTGCTATATTTGTCGGTTATATCAGGTCGTAAGATAGCTGGGTTCACGAAATCATTTTTTTACTAGAAAATATTTATCGCCTGAGAAACTAATTTTTTGGAAATAAGTCTCAGCATGTTTTCGGGAAAAGTATTTGTCCTCGTATCTTCCGTCTTATGGCAACTTTATTCGGCTACGTTTGAACAATATTTCGTTTGGCAGTCTAAAATACTGGCGAATATGCGACTTTTTCATTTTTCCCTCATCAAATCTGAAGTTTTCAAAATTCAAATGATGAAAGTTTTGCTCTTTAAAAATCTAATTTTTCCGAGTTAAATGGTTCTCATACAATTCCAGATTAAAGTCCTCGCTAAACATTATTAACGTTTCTTGTAGTCCTGATATTTCTCGACAATTTGCGCTATAAAACTTTATTCCTTATCGTAGTGTCCAAAATTTGAGATCAATGAGTACTACCATTAGAATTAGATTTATTTATGTGATTTGCAAATTTTTGTGCACAGCCGCTAACGGTTCTTGCACTTTAAACACAAAGACATACAAAGAATAGCATTGTTGATCAAATCAGTAGATTTATCAACTATACTCCCAGCAATTCATCGTCATCTTAAGAGGAATGATAAGTACGATATATCTTGACTATAGGTATCGATATATATCATTTTGCTTTAGAATATAAAGTAATTGAAAGAACCAACAAATCCGTTGAATTTATAAAACAGAAAAAAAGTTTCACCCGTATTTAAGACAGAAAATATAAAGTATAAAAGTGAATAACCAAACATTTATTGAGCTTCAATTTGTCTAGTATTAATATCAACCAGAGATGCTCTTTGTATATTTTGCCATTCTTGTTTTGTTTGTTCTAATGATAACTAAACAAGATAAAAAAGAAGCACAATCATCTATTATTAAAGAGATTCATACTGTTAAACTTTTATAACTGTATTTTGTTAGGAAGCGTAGAAAATCTCATTCAAAAACTTTAGAAATTCTCATTTTCTGACGTAATGTCCTCATTCTCTGATATAAATATGTTTCATGACTGTTCCCTTATTGCATGTGCACTTTATTGCGTCATCTTTGTTCTTACATCATTTTCTGTTCCTTCCTTCGAAACAACCTAATTGTAACTGCGCAAGGATATGGTCATGATTATTGCATCACAATATTCAGGATGATTGCGAAATATTGCTTATATAAATAGATCGGTTTTCTTTGTTAAAACGGACTCTTTTCTTTGAAAATAAATAGTGGACATACACATCAGAAAAGGGGGGACGTGAACAAGTGATGCTAACCGGGAATCCGATTCACAATACTACTACTCGTGTCCTCTCGATTCGTCCCTAATTGCTCTCTCTCAATTTGTCCCACAAATTTTTTTCTCAATTTCGTCCCATTTTTTAAATACTTATTCTACATAGAGTCTGTTGGTGTTCTTCAAAATAACAAGAGTTTCGTCCATGTTGGTCAGCTTAAAATAAATAAAAATATGTAAGGAAACGTGTCTAAAGCAGACAGTAGAAAGTGTATTTCCTGTTCATCCACACATTTATCAATTTATTAATCTATTACGTCAAGAAGATGCCTTTCAATACCATCACGCAGAAGAATCTGAAGTCCAGAGTCGCAAACGTAAAAATATTTACAATGAAATTGATGAAAAATTGAAAAGTTTACTTGACACTGATGAA